AGGGATTAATTAAAGGCTAAAAACGGATTAAACAAACATTATATCAAGTCTTGTATGCATGTATGAATTATATAAATCTCGTTGAAATAAGTGATTTGCATAATCCTTGATGTTTCTGTTATTTGTTCTTCTCGGTGGTTGCGTTTAAGCTTTGATTAAAATTGAGAACATGATTATATATTGATGACTTGTAATTAATCTAGGTCTAAGATTGAACCTTGAATCAAGTATTAAAAATAGTATTCGACTTCACTGAATAAATCTGTTTTGAATCGCTTAAGTTTTTAACTGATATTCTGTAGTCGTTGCTTCAAAAGGTTGTGTTCAATACATGTTATGGTGGGATGTCAATGGTTTAAGATGTACCTAGGACTAAGTTTGAACCTAGAACAAGGATTTAAAAACACTATAGAGGCTTTGTTAATCATCGGAGTTAGAGAAGAAGATGCAGAAACGGACGACGGCATCTAAGGGAGGAAGAGCAGGCTCTTCCTACTCTTAGAGCCGGCTCCCAAGGGTGGGGAGCGAGCTTTTGCAGCCTTGGAGCAGGCTCTTGGAGCCTTAGAGCCGGCTCTCACCTTAATAGAGCAGGCTGTCAAATTTTAGAGCCTGCTTTTGCCCAGAAATTTCGTACTCTGTGATTTTTGTACGTGGTTTGGACTGTACAGAGTATTGGGACTTCGTTTAAACTGTTTTAAATATTGTGTGGAACTGTTTTAGACCTAAACTTAGTATAGAGGAACATTAATCTAAACTGGGATTAATTGAAGGAGTAATATAAAGTTTAAAGAAAACTTAGTCAATTGCGCACTGTTGTATCCACTGGAACTTAGCAAGTTTTATGGATGATTTAATTATGTAAAATCATGTTTCCACAGGATTCTAAGTATAGTGAATTAATTAAAATTACCTATGCTTAGTTTGAGTTTAATTGATACTTAAATTTCTATTAATTATATCAATTCATGGATTATGTTGGAGGATGTGAATGCTTGAATTTAATATAGCAGTTTACATTATTGGAATTGGATTTTAGGCTCTATATTGAATGCCTGTTATTTATGTATATGCATTAAATTTATCTTGTGCATATTCTAGAGTATAGTTGATGACTATATAATATTATATGATCAACTGCGTTAACTGGAGGATTGTATGTACCGGTATGGAACGGTGACATAGTAGGTATGGACTAGTTCAAACACTAAGTTCTACCTAATTTGGATTAAGGTATGGATTAACCATATTGGTTAAGTCCATCACCTACTTGTGTCATATCAATAAAATAATTGAATGACCTACTTTGGATTTAGGATGGATTTGTTACATATATCAAACCATAATATAGATGGTTGGTATTTTGTATTAGGAGTACGGATTTTATATATATCTATTATATGGTGACATGGTATGAGCTTGAGTCTTAGGACCATGGTTAGGGCGCGTATATCGCCTAGGATGGATAATTGGATATAGGTGTTGTTCCCTGGTAAGTCTAGGTACTCATGACCACGTTATGTGCGATTTGCATGGTATCTCTACTCAGGCTAAGACAAACCTACTGGACTAGCGAGCGTCCTATAGTGTGTACTGTATATACATATATGGACTACTCTAGATATTGTTGAGTCTTTCTAGGATGTATCTACATATCGGATTCCTGTTTGGATTGTAGTAGATCAGGACTTGCATATGGGCCTGACCCACTCTTTATTTTTCAGGTGTTCGTCAATTCCAAAATTAGAGCTTGGACGTGCAGAGCAGATACAAACACTCATTCCTCCGACTACGTAGGAATCTTTTCTATGTTTAGTATTCAATTAATTTCAGTTGAGATTTTAATAAGGGGTCCACTGGATGGATTCCCGAGTTGTTAAACTTATGGAGTTTGGATTATCGGATTTTAACAATTATATTATTGAGGATTTTTAAATTTATTATTTTAGTTTCTTCCAGCTCATTATATTTTTCTTATTCACTTTGTATTCTGTGTTCATTAAAGTATTAATTGTTTGATATTTCCCTCGGGTTTGGGCTTGGGCTTGATCAACCCGTGTCTCGGATTCGAGGGGTATCACAACAACCATAGCACCCCTAGTGAGCTTCCACTGGCCATCACTAAAAGTGCAGCAATACCCTTCATCATCAAGTTTACCTGCAGAAATCAAATTCAAACGAATGTCAAGAATATGCTTCACATCTCTGAGAACTAACCTCATGCCATTATTCGTCTTCATATACACATCCCCAATTCCAATGACTTTAACCAAACCATCGTTGTCCATCTTTACTGTTCCAAAATCACCAGATTTATAGGATGTAAAGAAATCCTTCCGAGATGTAGCATGAATAGAGGCACCACTGTCAATCACCCAACTGGTCTCATGGTATGCAACATTTATCGTCTCATCATCATAAACAATGAGGAAGTCTGCAGGAGTGGTGGTAGCAACTCTGTCATCACCATCTTTGTCATCTCCATTCTTCGTTCCCCTCCCTTTCTCATTCTTGTTTTCTTTCTTCAATTGCCTGCAATATTTCTTGATGTGTCCTTTTTTCCCGCAATGATAACACTCAACATTTGCAAACTTGTTGGACTTACTTCTGTTGTTATCTTTGTTCTTCGGACCTCTGCTCTTACTTCTTCCCCTCTTTTCTGTAACCAAGATCTCTGACTGTGAAGAGGATCCCTGTGTTTTTCTTCTCATCTCTTTATTTAGCAAACAACTCTTGGCCATATCCATTGTGATTACACCTTCTGGAACGGAGTTAGACAATGAAGTTCTGAGCATCGCCCACGAGTCCGGTAATGAACCAAGCAACCATAACCCTTGTATCTCATCATCAAACTTAATACCCATTCCAGCTAGCTAATTAATAATTCCTTGGAATGTATTCAGGTGATCAGATAAATGAGTCCCGTCTTGGTATCTCAAAGCCATCATCTCCTTAATCAGGAATAATTTATTATTTCCAGTCTTTCTAGCATATAGCTGTTCAAGCTTACTCCATAGAGAACGTGCATTTGTCTCTCCACTAATATGGTTCAAAACATTATCATCTACCCACTGCCTCATATACTCACACACCTGTCGATGTAACAAAGTCCATTCCACATCAGACTTGTTTTCTGGTTTTTCTGCACTAAACACCGGTACGTAATAATCTTTCACATAAAGAAGATCCTCCATTTTTCATTTCCATATGTGATAATTTGAACCATTGAGATTAATCATTCTACTCGTATTTGTTTCCATTACTCAAACTGCCAACCTGGCAATCTGTCAACATGGCACTCTGATAGCACTTTGTTGGGAGAGATAATAATAAACAAATACAACGGAATAACTCTTCTCCCTATATGCAAGCAAATATAGTGTATCTCTACTTTTATATGTGCTGAAAATAATAGAAAAATAATCAATCACACCAAGCCACAAGAACACAAGCAATTTTTTTACTTGGAAAACTTCCCCAATGTGAGGAAGAAAAAAACCACGGGACCTAGTCCAGTTGAAATCTCCACTATCAACCAAATAATGGGTACACAAAGTCTTTTCTAATTGCAATTAGAGGTTACAATACATCTCATCAAGATATCAACAATCTTGGCAAATATAAAGAGAATTGAAGAGAAAATACCATAAACCCGGTTACTGTTCACAGGTACGAATCACTGTTCCCGAGCTCAAAATCCGATCTCCACCGTTCAGATTCTAAATCATTGAGTCGTGAACCTCTCCTCCAAATTTCAGCTCGATCGGACCACGGACGAAGCAAGATTAGAGGTTTGATGAAATCTGGGCAATATATGGAAAAACTGTGTTTTTCCTCTCTCTTATGAAAGCTACGGCTTCTTTTTTTTTTTTTTCACTTCCTTAGGGTTATACACCCTAAAGAGCTAGGCTTTGGGTTTTAATAAAACTCACTTGGGCTTTCCTCCATATAGAAGGAAATAAACCCAACACCGAACTCCGTAAAAGAATTTTTTCCCGAATTTGGAACTAACAAACACCTACACTCAAATAAACGGTGCCTAAATTACAATTCGATCGGATTTGTTCTCACACCGAAATTTGTCAATTACAAAATTACATCTTACCATTATATAGATGAAACAGAAAAATTTTAGCATTCCAAATTTCCAATAATTAAGTTCCGAATGACTCAAAATTCAACCTTAAATTACGATTGAATTTGTTTTCACACCGAAATTTATCAATTATAATATGTTTCATACGTATGGATTTCGTACAATGTAATTAAACTGCCTCATTTGTTCGGTTGTGAGCTCATTCTCTAACTTGGCAATTAGTCAAGGTCAAGTAGAAACTTCTCCCGCGTGCTTTGAAAAAGTAGTCCAAGTCTGGATCTCATTTTCTCCTCATACTAACATTTTGCCAAATTATCAAATGAAACTGATTAAAGTCCGATCTCCATCTACATCTTCTCCTCCACGTATGTCATTGCATCTCTCAAGTACTTATATCTCTTTTTACACACATGCATGCAGGCCAGTGTATGCCGAGGGCACATGCCCCTCCTCGCCTGCCCCGTTTACTTTAATACATATACTAAATTTATATATTTTTATGTGTATATATGAAAAAATTCATACAATGTCTCCCTAAAATTTTTATTTTCTAAAATTCTCATTTAAATTTTGTATTTCTTCTCTTTTTTACTTTTCATATTCGTTTAATTTTCTTGAAAAAAAGTCAATTTTTTTTTTTTTAAAATCAAACTTCAATTTGTTTTCCTTTCAAAAAAGTCAAATGCATGTAAGCTACAGGTTCCCATACATTTAATCTGCCTTGACGTGTAGACTCGCCATGTATATAAATTATTAGCATTTGCATCAGCTTTCACCTTAGGAGGTTTTCTCTTTGATTCGGCTTTTCTTATTTGAGAGAGAGAGAGAATTCAGTTCTCACCGGTGAGATCAGAAGGAGAAAGAGAAGGGAGTGGTGGTTTCGGGAACACGTGAGAATCAGGTTAATTAATTTGTTTTTATTTATTTCTTTCTTTTGATTATTTCTTGATTAGTTAGGAACTAATTAGAGTTTTTAGAGAAGTTATATAATTAAATAATATTTGGATTATTTTAGTAATTTTTTTAGACTCTATCAAAATAAATAATTAAAATGAAACTTACTAATAAAATGAATTAATTATACATATAATATTTTACTTATATTTGAAATGAAATATGTTATCATGGAGTTCCCAGCATATCTTCAATTTAAGTAAACTAGGTTATTTTATTAATCCATTGAATGTGAATCCTCAAATGGATTTAATCTCAAAAAATATACGGAATAGATATACTGTTAATTAATATTTTAATTTTTGTACTTACAATTTTAGTTGAAATTTTTTGAGATGTGATTGTTGAAGGTCTCCTTAGGCGTTGGGCGAACAATGAAAATAAGATGGTGGTCGTGTTGGCAGCGGCTGATGATGGTGGTTTTCGTGGTGGTTGCTTTGATCTTAGATATGACAACCTCTGACCCACAAATTTATTTGATCCATAAAGCATGCAGCGGAACCCCTGCCTCGGTCTTCACCAACCTGAACAGCATGGACTCCTTCTTCGCAGATATTCGAAGAGAGCTTTCCAATAAGGACACGCACTATGCCATCAGAGAGACTGCCCTTGGTGACTTCCCTACAGTCTATATCATGGTTCAGTGCAGGATCTACCTCTCTGCTGCTGATTGTGTCGGTTGCTTTGATACCGCGGTGTCGGAGTTACGTACCTGCCCGTCTTCCATAGGTGCTCATATCACCTACGATGGCTGCTTCCTCAGGTAGCTTTCCTTTGTAAACATGCGCTCTCTTTTATTTTTCTCCTCTGGTTTCCCTGTTTTTTTTTAAATAATTTTTATTTACTAAATTAGAAAAATTACATAATAGTGGACTTTTGGGAGCATATTTACGATAGTACTTTCCAAAATCAAATCATTGTAACTAGGGGTGACAAATTACGACATGACTAGAATATAATACGAGATAAGCGGGTTTGAGTTGACCTTAAATGGGTTTGGATTATAAACGGGTTGACACGATTAACCCGTTTACTTAACCGTGTCAGGTTAAGATTGACGAGTTCAACCCGTTTATACCCATTTAACTGAATATATCATAATCATGAATATGACATATGTTTTATGTTACCTATTTAAACTTAATTATTATGAGTAGTTAAGTCATTTCAACATTAACCTTGACTGTACATTATGATTTTTCTTCTTATTTTGAATATTTGGATTAATTATAACAAATTTTTTCTAGTATTCATTAGTTGATTGAATATTAAATTTCTCGTTCTGATAAACAGGTCATTAACTCGTTTAATAAACCGATTGGATTAGCATTGAGGGTTCCTGGCACAATTATTAAATAGGTCGAGTTTGAGTTTACCTATTTAATATAATACCTTTACATCAACACGATACGATTATGACCTACGAACAAGAATTGCCACCCCTGTTATGAACATGGATGTGCACATTTCATTTCTTTAAATGCCCTCTTACTAGTTACTATTCAACTGCAATTCCTTAATTACCCCTTTTTATAACTATATTTTATGAGGTACCATATTTGTACTAGGTCTTTCTTTTGCAGCACTAGGTATCATCTTTTGTACATATGGGTGTCAATTCTGTACACCACATTTGTTTATTTTTATATATTTTTTTCCGAATAATTAAGCAAATTATATAAATTAAAAGTAGTTACCTTGGGCCAAAACAACCCAGCAAGCTGGAAACAAGCCCAATATATGAGCACAACCCATGAGAAACCCAGCCCAGTGACCCCCATAAAATAGTCTAGTTTAGTATTTCTATATTTAATGGTGTTCAAAAGTAGGTGGCACAATGTACCATGTTGGATGAGTAAATGAAGAAGCTGGAGTCCATTGTAACGGACTACGCATTTAGGTACCATATTTGTGCACTTATGTATTATTTTTGTGCAATTTGGTATCATTTTTAGTATAAGTAGGAACCATATTTTGTGCATAACATTTTTACTACCGGTGACCAATAAAAGAACTAATACTTTGATAACCTGTTATACTATAAAATGTTAGTAAGAGTCTCACTATGACAATCGATGATCAAAATTTACACACCCTTTTGATAGCAGGTAGTTGAAACATGTAGTATTATATTTGTACAATTAAGTATCACTTTTGTGCAATTGGGTACCATATTTTATACACGTGTGTACCATTTTTGTAAAAGGAGGGATAATTAAGGGATTTCAATTGTTCTGTAATTTTCCCTAAATTTTTAAACAAAAAAATTACACCCTTAATAAATTGGGTTATCGTGTAAAAATAAATAAAAATAAATAAATAAAATAGGGTTATGGAATTGTATCTTATTAATAACAAATCGAATATGAATTTATTCATAAATTATTTGCCATGTTATAAGATTGAAAATAAGTTTATCAAATTCATATCAGTCTAATTTAGTCCGAATCTAATCCGTTTACCGGCCTAATTGTAAGTGTGACTTAATTATCAAAGAGGAGAGATAAGGAAAGAAAGTCACACACTCACTTACCACATGGAGAGTTCAACTATCAACCTTCTACTTTTAGATGAAGCACTGTTACATTATAGACAAGAGGGAATTAGTGCCCACTGCGAAGGGACGTGCTCTCCTGAAATCTTTGTTTTTTTTTAATTACTTTTAAATGTATGTTTTTTGAAAATTATATAATTCCCCTTGTGAGTTTTTCCTTCTCTTTACTCCTTTTTCCATCAAATATATATATATATATATATATATATATATATATTTTGAGTGAGAACGGTCTATTATATGGAAAATAGCTAATTTTAATTCAAATTCTTATTTTTCTAATCCCTGAAGTTAGTTTTTGAGTTGTTGTGTTGAGATATTATACATGACATGGATATAGGCCCCCGTTTGGATTAGGTTTTTTAAACGTTGCTTTTAGATTTTTGGAGTAAAAAGCTATTTTGAGCCGTGTTTGGAAAAAAATTTAGAAGAGTTTTGGGTCCTTGAAAGAGCGTTTTAAAGAAGCTGAGACCCAACATTTTCAAAACGCTTTCTTGAAACAATACGGGAAGAGTTGGTATTTTAATAAAACTTTTTAAATGACAAGCATACCTTTTTTTATTACCTAACAAAAAAAATATAATTCCAAGCGTATTCCTATAAAAGTCCCTTTATTTTTCTTTCCAAACCCTAGTATTACAAATCTCGCCTTTCCTCTTTCAAATAAAAAAAAAAAAAATTGTTACATATCCCCTTTATATATATTCAAAAGACTGATATAATAGAGCATTCAACTGGAGGAAAACCCAGAAGAAGATTCTTGTTTGGCTCTCTTCTTTGTTGTTTAAGCTCCAATAAAATCATTGAATTGCAGAATCCTAAGTAAGCCACTAAAGGATAAGAACAATATATATATATATATATATATATATATATATATATATATGTGTGTGTGTGTGTGTGTGTGTGTGTGTGTGTGCATGTTGCAATCTATAATTTGATTTTTTTTTTTTTTTTTTTTTTTGGTGCCTCTCAGATTCATTACCAACCATCATATGTTTTTTTACTTCAATTTTATTTTATCTCAGTTTTGCTTGTGAAGCTATGGGTGTATATACAGGTAATATATGTGTTTATATGATTTACTTGATGATAGTTATGAAAAAAATCTCCAGGGCTAAGGCATAATAAAAGACGGACGATCACTGCCAACAAAATAAAGAAAATAAAATTCCTTCATTAATTTTTGTTTCACCTCAAAATTGAATTGGGAAAAAGTGAACTTTTATCAAAACACTATAGAAGAAAATAATTACAAAATAAGTTAAATATATATTATGTTGAAAATAAATAAGGAAAGAAAAATAATTAAATAATTGACTGTAGGAATAATTTCTTTAGAGTAGAATTAATTTATTTATTTAGATCATTTTATGGGCATCAACATGTTAAAAAAAACATAACTTGGTAAAAATGGTTTACATGTTAAAAAATAACTTAATTTTGTTATTTAGACCATTGTTTTGGACTTGTTTCACTGGTTTACATCGTAAAAATGCTCATTTGATTGATTTTTTAATGGCATATTGAAACACTGGTAGGAAATTTCTTAAAACGCAAAATAGGTTTTGCAATCTTTTTTATTATTATTATTATATATGGGTTGTTACAGATAAATTGAATGAAGGAAAAATAGTTATGTTAGTAGTAGAAGAGCTTCAATAAACTTTTTGCCTAACAGATAAAAAAAACCTCTTACAACATTAAAATCTATTCAATAATGCAGTTTCCAAACACTAACACATAAGCTAAATAAAAGTGATGGCACTTCTCTTTCAAAAGCTTCGCCAAACGGGCCCATAGACATTGGAGTTGGGGTCTTGAGAGACATGAAATGTGGCCCACTCCCAGAAGTCAGGCCCAAGTCCATTGCACAAAACAGGCCAATTCTGGCCCATATCACTTGAGTGTAAATTACTATCTTTTAAACCCACTTTATTATTATTATTATTTTTTTTCTCCATTTAAACCAACTTTATACTTGGGAAATACCCTCTCAGGTTTCCTTTTTCCCTGGATAAAAAAATCAAAACAGATAGTTGACCGTTATCCATATCAAAAGTCAGTTGAAAAAAATAAAATACTAAAACTAACCTTCTTTATTGTAAAATGTCCAAATCAACCTGCTCAATTATTATATATTTTTTTAAGAATAATGATAGGGAGATCAAAAAATTAACCGAATGTTTTTGTCCACTTCATATACTTAAACAGTTTTTAAAAAATAATTATTTAACCAATGACAAATATTCGGTGTTAATTTGTAAATTTCTTTTCGATCCCCTTATTATTACTCTTTCTTTTAACGGTTTACAAATAGCCACCATTAAATAATAAATATTACTCACTTTTTGAAGATACCACAGAATATATTAATCATAATCATAAAAATTACTCAGAAATACACAGCGCCTCCACCACCACCATCTCCTCTCTTTCCACCGCGCCGATCTTCCCCCCTCTCTCAACTGCGCCTCTTTTTCCACCACTCTCTCTCTCTATAATATATACACATATATATATATATATTATATATTATATATATATCTACAAATCAAAAGTAAAACACCAATATAGCTTCAAGCAGGACCTTCTCCGTTCATGGAAGCTTATGGCTTCACGATGGCTTGAGTCCGAGATCGGTGGGTTGGGGCTAGGATTGGGATTGTGTGGATGATTTTGGGATTGATTTGCGACGACGAGGTGACGGCTTGATTTACAAAAAAAATTCATGAATACCTTTCTTATTTTCTTTCTTTTTTTGCCTTAAATGATCTTCTAAAATTCAATAAAAATCACTAAAATTCATTAAAAAATGATTTTTGTTGAATTATGTTGTAAAATTTTGCATATCAGTGCACTTTGAGCACCATGTGCATGGTTGAAAAAAATTAACGATTGCAATAATTGAATCCGTTACATTATGCGAATCCAGGCCCGATGTAAGGCCGATTCAGTTACATCGAGACTGGTACCGCCATTGCGAGTAAGTTTAATTTTCTTTCCATTCTTTGGTGTTTGTGCTTTGCTGGTGTTGTTGCAACGAATCTCAAATCTCAATTCTTGGACTACAGTTATCCTAACTTGTGTCTTTGTTAGAGCTTAAGTTCGTATACGGCAATTGGTAGCCTAACATTATTCGGTCTTGAATTCAAGTTTCCTTATCTGAAATGTTTAAACTTATATATATATATATATATAGCCTTCAATAAGTGATGATGAGCAAGGCAAATTTGTTGCATGGTCGAAAGTTTCTCAATTCTCACTATTTACTTATTTTGTAAAGGTATGAGATCTACAAGTTTGATGACCAGGCAGTCCAGGCTGAGGCGGCTCCTCATCGGAAATGTGGCAATCAAAGTGAATCTCAGGCAACTGCTTTTAATGCAGCTGTAAAACAATTATTAGCTGATCTTAAAGTCGCGACACCCAAGATTATTAATGGTTCATTTGCAGCAGCAAAGAGTGAAGTGGCTGGTGGTAGTGCAGCAGTGTACGCGGTGGCACAATGCATTAAAACATTAAATGAGAGTAGGTGCCAATATTGCTTGACAGTGGCACATGACGACTTATATTATTGTGTACCAGCTGCATACGGTAGGGCTTTTGAGGTCGGGTGTTTCCTAAGGTACTCGAAGACCCCTTTTTTCGCAGATAACCAGACAATAAATATCACCCATTTCCTTGGAGGAGGTGAGGCCTAATTGGAGAAAATAAATATTTGATGTCCTTTCATGACATTTATTGCTTTTTGAGATGGAAGTTCTGCATCTAATTTTTTAGTTCTCTTATCCATGTATTTGTTGCGGATAATGAATTTCCATCAACCGACTCAACTATCTGATATTATTGAAAGTTAAATTCCACATTCACATCACATCAACAAAAATATGTATAGAAATAACAATCAAATACATCCATGCACAACATAATATATTACATATTTCACCTAATTATTGGACTACATCCATGGGGAGAGCGATTTCCACTATTATGAATCAATGAAGTGAATATATAACCACATGTCAAAATCTCACTCACTCACTAAATATTTCTTTTGAGGCTACATGTATACATTACAGAATTACATATACTTTCCCCTCTCCTTACAACATTCACCCTTAATCCCCTTACATCTTTTCTTTCTCCTCTCTCTCTCTAAACCCATCTCTATTTATAGGGTCTTCAAAACTTAATTCCACGTTGGACAAATATTCCACAACTATAAGGAGTTACCATATCCATTTCCAACTCTAAAATAGTAGGTACAACTTCTTCCCCAAATCTTCAGCCTTTTCTCCAAGTCTTCTAGCTTCCAAAACTGATTATGAAATTGTTTCTGACAACTTCCAATAACTCACTATCCAAGTTGAACCTGTCCAACCCCATTTGAAGAGATTCAACTTTGGAAGTAGCCAAAAGTCTTACACTTGAACCGGGTCAACTTTGGTGCTTAGTGTAGCAATTCATGTACATTCTAAACTTTATTTCTATCTACAAGCTTTCCTTTTAACTTCATTAAAAAAATAAAAATAAAAATAAAAAATAAAAAATCATCCTTTGAGCATCCAAATTTTTTACGTAATCAACACTTGATCAAACTATGCCTACACGTATGTTATCTAATATAGTTCCACCTCAAATAAGGATCTCTTCATAACTCCACTTCAACTGAAATTTCTCCACCTCAAATAAAACACTATTGTGAACTTGAGAAACACTTTAATAGTATTTTCTTGCTAAGTACAATTATAACATAAAAATGTACCTAGATTGTAACATAATATTCTCTATCCATAACAAATTAGTTCCTCTTGCGTTATGATTGTCTGCAAGATCATCTTCCTTTTCCATTATAATGTATTAAATGTGTAAGTTACTCAAAATATTTTCTTAGTTATTCAACTAATTTTCTACCCTAATGTTACAGGGTCAACTGGAGATAACGGGAGAACCCCTTTCCTTGGAGAAGGTGAGGCTTAGTTGGATAAAATAAATATTTGACGTCAGGCAAATCCTTTCATTACATATATTGCGTATTTGAGATGGGAGTTCTCTGCTTCTAGTTTTCTAGTTCTCACCCATAATTTTTTTTAGTAGGTGCAATTTATAACATAAAATTGTAGATCGATTGTAGCTAGTTTTGTCACAATTAAAGTGCCTCTCGCATTAATACTTACACTTGGAACTCATAACATCCTCCTAGTCGGCCAACTAATTTTTTAACCTAATATTGTTACAGGATCAGGATCAGCTAGAGATGGGAACAAGCATAGATTAGCGATTATCATAGGTAACATAATAATAGAAAAATAATGTCTCTATGCTCCTTACATTTTATTTAGCATTCCAGGAAGACAATCTTGCAAATACTGCATATAATTTGAGTTAAACTGAGCTAAATTATTTTACGTTTGCCCCAAAAATTGTTTGAAAGAAATTTACAAATGGCCATGCATAAACTCTCAGCATCTTTAATCATCTATAAGCCCAATTGAGATAGGGCTTATCTACTAAAATATCTGAATATAAGACCTACCTCCACTCTTTTCATGCAGGTATTTTAGCTGGTGTGTTTGGACTTACATTTGTTTCTGTTGTGATGATCATATACTACTGTAAAAGAAATGACTTCTCAGGTAATGCATTGGTTTTCTGGAGGAAGAAAACAATAAATGATCGAAATGTTGAGGCAACAATAAGGAACTATGGATTTCTTACTCCAAAGCAGTACAACTATCTAGATCTTAAAAGAATGACCAACTCATTCAGAAACAAACTAGGTCAAGGAGGATATGGTGTCGTATACAAAGGAAAGTTATTAGATGGTCAGCTTGTGGCAGTGAAGGTCTTGAGTGAAACTAAGGGAGACGGAGAGGAATTTATCAACGAAGTTGTTAGCATTAGTAGAACTTCACATGTCAATGTAGTCACTCTTTTGGGTTTTTGTTACGAGGGGAATAAAAGAGCTCTTGTTTATGAATTCATGAGCAATGGATCTTTGGACAAGTTCATCTATAATGATGCATCTGGGAATTCAATCTATCATCTGGAATGCAAAATATTGTACCAAGTTGCAGTTGGTGTTGCTCGGGGGCTAGAGTATTTACATCGAGGTTGCAACACAAGGATTGTTCATTTTGACATAAAACCTCAGAACATTCTTTTGGATGAAGACTTTTGTCCCAAAATCGCTGATTTCGGCCTTGCTAAATTAGGCCAGAGGAAAAGGAGTACTATGTCCTTGGTGGATGCAAGAGGAACTGTTGGATACATTGCTCCAGAAGTATTTTATAGGATGTTTGGAGGGGTCTCTCATAAATCTGATGTCTACAGTTATGGGATGATGGTTCTTGGAATGGTTGGTGGAAGAAATGATAATGAGGCTGGAACAACCCATTCAAGTCAAGTATATTTTCCGGACTGCATATATGAACAGTTACAACACGGAGAGGATCTAAGACTTAATGGTGTTACAACTGAAGAGGAAAAATAATTAGCAAGGAAAATGGCCATAATGGGTTTTTGGTGCATTCAGACCATTCCAACAGATCGCCCATCAATGACTACAATAGTAGAAATGTTGGAAGGTAGCTTTCAATCCTTGCAAATTCCATCTAAACCCGTCATAGCTTCTCATCCTATGTTGGAACAAGGAACTTCTGCATCATTTTCACAAAGTTAAGAGTACTGACTAAAAAATGGGGCTTTAAAACTGAATGAAAGTAGAATAATGAGAATGAGCTCTTTTGTTGTCTTTTTTTTTTTTTTTTTTTCCTTTTGATGTGCTTTTGGCTTAATACTATACTCCATGTTTGTTTGTTTCTTTGTGTTTTGTTTTTTTGTCCTCTATCTTATCATGAATTGTAGCAAAAGTAGAATTGCTGCTTTGTGTATTACAGGAATAATCCTATATATCTCATTACATTTCAAGAATTTCAAGTGATTTATGCATATTATTTTCTCGTTACACTCTGTTTCATTACAAAATCCATTTACGATCATGAATGTGGATGTGCCAGAGTTTGCAGAGAAAATAGTTGGGTTGATACAAACTGTATTCTTATGCGACAGAATCCATTCTGCTCACTCTAGCTAGGACAACTTTTATCCCCAGCCTAATTAAAACTTGGGAACGAAATCAGGTTCCTAACCTGAGTTCTTCATACGTTCAAGCCAAGTTCAAACACTAAAAGTGGGACTCAACTCGAGTTTGCGCTCAAGCAGTTGAAAGTGAGACTTAATTCGGTTCAATTGCAGGCATTCTAATTAGGGGTATGAGAATAGTAAGTTTGTAGTGCATTCAGACCAATCCAGTACTAGATTGCCCATCCATGACTACTTTGGTGGAAATGTTAGAAGGAAGCCTTCAATCCTTGCAAGTTCCACCTAAACCCATCTTATCTTCTCCTCCCAGATTGCCACAAGAATATTCTTATGCATAATTAGTACCACAAAGTTCGAGTATTGAATGAAAGAAAAGGTTTTTTTTCAAATTGAATGGAAGAAGAATGTCAATGAGCTCTTCGATTATGCTCTTCGTTTTGATGTGCTTTTGGCTTGATACTAATACACCAAGTTATGTATGTTTTTTTCTCATTTTATCTTTAAATTGTAGCAGAAGTATAATTGTTGTCTGGCTTATTACAGCAATCTTGTAACGTTCATTACTTTTCAAGAATTTCAAGTGATTTTTGCTCTACTATTTTTCATTACACTCTGTTTTACTTAAAAAAAAACATCCAATGACCTCACCGTAGGACAACTTTTATCCCAGCTAAATTGTTTTGGAATGAAATTACCTTCCTAACCCGATTTCTTCATATGTTCGAGCTAGTCCCACATCAAACACTAAAAGTTGGACTCCGGCCTCAGCTTGAGCGTCTTGGAAGTGCATATAGAGGAAACTTTGTCCGTTTGTCCATATTTTTAGTTTTATTAGTCTCACAAATAGTTGTTTATTTTTAAAATCAATGCATTATATTTTAAAATATTTCCATTTTACCGTTATTACATTCAAATTATAAAATAATTAAAGTTTGAAATAAACAATACTATAACCCACAAGAGAATAACTTTTACAGAATTTCCAACACCTGTATTCATATTAAAGGACAAATTATATCACATGGACCCACGTTCCCAACACATGGACTTTGGGTCCGTAATTAACACCAAAAGATTATTACCAAATCTCCATGGCCATGCTATTAAGAGTTCTCTGTAACGTATGTTGGTCTGGGATTATACCAAAGCTCCGCCGCCACGACAACACTCTTGTCGGACAACATTAGAAAAAAAAAAAAAAAACACTCTTGTCGGACGAACACCCAACTTCTCAAAATAATAATAATAAGATATTGGTTTACGTGTGTCCGTGTGGGACGGACACCCAACCAGGGTTGTCCGTGCTTCATAGGGTTTATATTATTTATATGTTAGGAAGAAAAAAGATAAAGCAGTGATGAGAAAGAGAGAGGAACTTAACTCGAGCATTCTGAGTTAACCAAAGGAGTTTAAAATTTATTGGATGGAGTAGTAACAGATAAGGACGGTCCGTTAAGTGCAGGGACCAAATGCAGAAGATCCGCGTGCGGTCTCTTTTATACCCAACCAGTCTTTAATCAAATATATATGACAATGGGGATTCTCTTTTAATCAATTGAGTAATAAAAAATATGTAGTTTTATATTCAATGAGTCTCCTTCAGTTCCTGCTATGAAAAAATAGAACAAGTCTCAATATGGTTTCATCAAATTCTAGTCAAATAATGCGAGTTTACATGTGTCATTATCATGAATTAATTTATTTACTGTAGATGGTTTTAATTGCAAATCCACAATATTCTACGAACTTTATTATTCTAAAAGATCATTGTGGTATGAGTGGATGCTTAGATCACGAATTTATTAAAAGAATTGAGCCTTGGACCATGGTGCAAAAAAAAAATTTGGTCAAACCGAAAATGCAAACTGGACCAAACTGGATCGGACAATTTGGTTTGGTTTGCTAATGGTTTAGTTTGGTTACGGTTTTAAATTTGTAAAACCGTAAAGATACTGTTTAAAACCAAACTAGACCGAATCAAACTGTTGTGTTATATATATATATATATATATATATATATATATATATATATAATTGTTTGTTGTTAAATTAATAATTCTAAATCTATTAGGTTATTAGAAATTCTGAATTTATTTACTTTAGTTACAGAAGTGATAGAAAAAAATGAATTAAAAGTTTTGAATATATTAATAATTCTGAATGTGTTGGTAACTTGGTTTATAGTTTGTACGTGAATTTTGAAATATGAATACTTCTGTAAATAAATAAATAAAGTGGAATCGAACTGAACCAAATCGATTTTTCACGATTTGGTTTCTTTGGTCAAATGGTTCGATTTAGTTTCAAATTTTATGAATCCGTTAGAATTGATTTGGTTTCAAAAACACTCTTAAATCGATCCAAACCAAACTATGTGCACCCAACCAAACTATGTGCACCTCGACGGAGCACTAGTTGGAATTCCATATGGGAACATGACTTGACTATTGCACCAATTTAATCCAGCATTCATTAATGCCAACTGGCATGATGGACTAACAAAAATAATAGATTCATGCTCCCAAAAAGAATTGAACTACAACAATTAAGTATGTTTAAGAGAAAAGTGCAGAGAACACACCTGAAGTATATTTCGCGTAATATTTTTATTCTATATTTAAAAAGATGTGCAAAAAATACTCCTACTATTTTCACATTATGCAAAAATACACCATTTGACATAAATTAGTGATGTACGTAATATTTGTTTTTTTTTTTTACTCTTTATACTACTAATCTCATAATATAGGGGTATTATGTGCACATTACCTCATTATAATTATTATTATTTGAAACTTTTTTCTTTATATATATCTCTAAATAATTTTTTTTTTTTGAATTTGTCAAACAAGAATTCGAATTTTTTGGGAATCTAGTTTACTCTTTTTTATTAAACTTTTTATTTTTTATTTTTTATTTTTTATATTTTTTCATACCAACACTCTAACCAACAAAAATAAAAAATAAAAAAAAATTCAGAGTTTGGAAAAATTTTGGGCTTGCTTAGTTTGTAACTATGAAAACTGTTTTTTGTTCTTGGAAAAATGAAAACAGAAAACTGTACAAAAAATTCTGTTTGTTTTAGTTTTCTTAAAACTATTTTTTAAAAACTTAGTTAGAAAAATGTCTGTCTTTATAGAACAGTCTTCTATAGTTCTCTGAAAACAGTTCTCAGTTTTCTAAGTTTCTGAGAACTATTTTCAGAGATACAAACCAAGCATGCCTTTCGTACTTTATTTTTGTTTTTTATTTTTTATTTTTATCTTTACTTGTCCATTACCGGCGTCCTTCAATAGTATCATTTTCTGTCATTTTATAAAATTATTTATTTTTATATATTTTATAAAATAATTCATTAAGAGTAATTTAATCAACTTATGGTTTAAATTTGTCAGAGAAACTTATTTGCACCAAATTGAAACTTTATAGGTATTTTTTGCACGAGAAGGACATCACCAATAATGTCCTTTTCAATCATTTTATAAAATTATTTTTTTTATAAAATAATTTAATAAGGATAATTTAATCAATTTAGAGTTTAAATTTACCTACAGAATGTGATATGAACTGTAAACCTATTTAGGGGTGTTTTCTGGCCTATGATTAACCAACTTTCACCTTTACTTTTTAAAATGTGCTACGTCACCACCTCTTATCTTTTAAAATTTGTGGATAACAGTCTCAGTTATGCAAAACAAATCACATAAAATAATTGTAATATGCTTATTTACCTTTCTACCCTTTTAAAAATATATTTATTTTATATATATTTACTTTATATAAGGGTGTTAACTGTACTTTTAACCTTTTACTTAATCCCCCACCACCTTTCAGGCTGTCAAAACTCTCTCTATATTTCCTCTATATTAAGGAAACTCAATGCTAACAACAGTCTACAATCAAGCAAGATCCTTATCAGTCAAGGAAGATCACCATCGTCAAGCAATGAAGCCATATTTTCAGGAATCTGTCTCATACGTATAGGATATAATTAATTGTATTTACCATGCATCTTCTTGCGTGTGCTTTCTAGAGTCTTTCTTTGCACTCCATATATACTTGTATCTGATACACAATACATCCACACTGTGAAATACAATTGTTTACAACATTCTTATTTTCTTACACTCTATAGGAGCATTCTCTCTCTCAGCTCACTCGGTCTCCAGTAACCTCAAATGTCATCATATCAAAATAAGCTTGTTTACAAATTGTTGAAGATGCTATTAAATCTCCAAATTATAATAATATTTGCTATATGTATAGTTCCAGTTACAATCATAGCTCAAACCCCAACCAAGTGCAACGCATCGTGCGGCATTTCGTCAGCCAAACACCTCCCTTTCCCATTCGGCTTCTCCGCCGGCTGCCCATTCCGTCTGAATTGCACCTCAACCGGCGACATTCTCATTCATGACTTTCCGGTCCAAAAGGTCACTCCCGACGTCATTCTGATCAATTTACCGGCAAAATGCGACCGACCCATCACCGCCCTCCACCACCTCTTCGGCCAGAACTATGCTCCAACGTCGTGTAACGGAATTCTGCTACAAAACTGCAGCTTACCGATCAAGCCATGTTTGATTCCGACCACCACGATTCAAACCCACTTCGAATTGCTCGATTGTGTTTCGGAAAAGGGTAATAATATTAGCTGTTACTCGGAGCAGAATAATCAGAGTCGGTTCGTTGACTATACTAAGGTGATACAGAGTGGTTGTGTGTCACTTTTCTCGGCCATCTCTTTAGAGTCATTGGGGAATAATTTAGATGTGTCGATTGATGTTCAGGCGGTTCAATTGGGGTGGTGGCTTGAAGGAGATTGTGACTGTTCTCCAAATGCGAATTGCAGTATGGTTGAGTCACCGGTCGGAAAGGGATATCGGTGTCGGTGCTTAGAAGGGTTCGTCGGTGACGGGTTTCCGGCCGGTTTGGGCTGTCGGAAAGGTGCGTTTCAGTTGCCTTAACTAATGGGTTTATTTATTTATTATGGTGTATAATACACTGAATTTTGGAGGTTCAAGTTAAATGATATAAAGCGGGAGCAGGAGCCAATTTGAAAGCCTGAGCGTGAGACTGGTAGAATTGTGCGTAAAAGTGGGAGGGTGTTCGAAACGTGAGAGCGACACCTATTAAAAAAAATAGTATGACTTAGGTTTAACTAGGTTGATTTAAATGAACTATTTTTTGTTTTAAAAAACATAATAATAATTGACAATAGCTGTTTGGAGGTGCTTCTGTGTCTCAAAAAGTCCTTCTAGTTTTTCAGAAGTCATTTTTTATAATTCTGTAATGTTTGATTACGCATTTAATAAAGGTCTTTTTCGAAAAACCAAGGTCCTAGTCCATTTCAAAAAAATATATTTTTTTCTTGAATCATTTCAAAAAAATAAGAAAATGTTGATTCTCCTTTTAGAATTCAAATTTTTTTTAATAAAATAAATTTAGAATTTAAGAAAAAAATTTTGGACGGGAATCGAATTGCTCTGAATGTATATGTATATATGGGGTGGGGATTAATCCGAGCAATTCGATTCTCATCCAAAAATTTTATAAGAGACTGAATTTAAACTTTAAAACCCGAATTTATTTTAGATGAAATATAGGCAAAGGTTTTAGTACCCCGAAGAACAAATTTGGGTAAGGTACTTGAGACCGTGGGATGAGAATGAATTTAAACTTTAGAGCCTGAATTTATTTTGGATGAAATTTGGGCAAAGTTTTTAGTACCCCGAAGAACAAAAAAAATCCAAAGATTCTGAAATATAATGATAGTTGATAACTTATATATTTAAAATTAGATTATTAATACTATCATCAATCATGAATTCCACTTATAGGAGATTGAATTTAAACTTTAAAGCCCGAATTTATTTTGGATGAAATTTAGGCAAAGGTTTTAGTACCCCGAAGAACAAATTTGGGTAAGGTACTTGAGACCGTAGGATGAGACTCAATTTTAACTTTAGGGCCCGAGTTTATTTTGGATGAAATTTTGGCAAATGTTTTAGTACCCTGAAGAACAAAAAAAATCCAAAGATTCCGAAATATAATGATAATTGATAACTCATATATTTAAAATTAGATTATTAATACTATCATCAATCATGAATTCATCATACGGGATCATATTATTGTTATAAGATTATTTTATACATAGTGTTGATGATGGATTCTGCGCAACCTGGATCTGATCTGACTTCCTGAATAAAGAGAAGAAAAAGTGATCCTACGAACACCGGTGTGTTACCGGTGGAGTAGGCTCAGACGAACAAGTCAGTGTGAATGATAATCTCCCTGGAGAAATCGAGAAATTGAGTTAGGGTTTATTGCGTACCTCAAAACGTTGATTCCCCCGCCTTTTTTATAGGGCTTAGGTTAAGATGTCACGTAGAATTACCTTATTGTAATATGTAGACTTAATCCTCATCGTAATCTTTAATCCTTATCACAATCTTTAATCCTTATCGTCAGCTGTAAAGCCTATCTCAATCTGTAATCCTTATCGTAATCTACAGAGCCTATCTCAATAGTGCGTTAATTTAGTAATCTTCCCTTAATTATGGATATTTAAATTATACATCCATCAGTTGCCCCCCGTTTCGGAGGATTGCTTGTCAAACCACCGGAACGTTAATTCCAAAATATCACATAATAATATATAGTTAGAATTGCAGAGCCTTGTCTATTAGCCTGACTTATATTGTCATTTCGCGAATACAGTCGGGGGTCATAGTATCACATTAGCAGCTCATATATGTGGCAAGCTCGTATATTTGTCGTATATTGGCAAGCTTGTATATTTGTCGTAGTGCCACATTGGCAGCTCGTATATGTGGCAAACTGCCATGCTGGTAGTCTACCGTTATGTGGTAAGCTGCCATGCCATGCTGCCGTGGCAAGCTGTCCTGCTGGCATGCTGCCGTTATTTGTCAAGTTGCCCTGGCAGGCATGCTGTTTTATTTGGCAAGCTGCCCTGCTAGCATGCTGCCTTTATTTGGCAAGCTGTTATGCTAGCATGCTGCCGTTATTTGGCAAGCTGCCTTGCTGGCATGCTGCCTTTATTTGGTAAGCTGTCCTACTGGCATGCTGCCGTTATTTGGCAAGCTGCTCTGCTGGCATGCTGCCTTTATTTGGCAAGCTGCCCTGCTGGCATACTGCTTTTATTTAGTAAGCTGTCCTACTGGCATGCTGCCGTTATTTGGCAAGCTGCTCTACTGGCATGCTGCCTTTATTTGGCAAGCTGTCCTGCTGGCATGCTCCCATTATTTGGCAAGTTGCCCTGCTGACATGCTACCGTTATTTTATACTTGATTTTATTGACATCTTTAGTCGGCTAGTCCCTTTAATAAGGAAAGTAGATTAAGACGAGTTTCACTTAACTCGTAATAAGGTAAGTAGATGAATACGAACTTCACTTAGCTCACCCTTTAACAGGGGAAGTAGATTACTATGAGCTTCACCCAACTCACCTTTTAACGAGGGAAGTAGATTACTATGAGCTTCACTCATCTCACCCTTTAACAAGGGAAGTAGATTAATACGAGCTTCACCCAGGTCACCCTTTAACAGGGGAAGTAGATTAATACGAGCTTCACCCAGGTCACCCTTTAACAGGGGAAGTAGATTACTATGAGCTTCACTCAGCTCACCCTTTAACAAGAAAAGTAGTTAACCCCTCATCTTTTTACGAGGGAAGTAGATTACTATGAGCTTCACTTAACTCACTCTTTAACAAGGGAAGTAGTTAACCCCTCATCTTTTTACAAGGGAATTAGATTACTATGAGCTTCACTTATCTCACCCTTTAATAAGGGAAGTAGATTAATACGAGCTTCACCCAGATCACCCTTTAACAGGGGAAGTAGATTAATATGAGCTTCACTCAGCTCACCCTTTAACAAGGGAAGTAGTTAACCCCTCATCTTTTTATCGAGGGAAGAAGATGAAGCTGACCCTTCATTCTTTTAAGGGGGAAAGAGGTATGGTCTTGACATGGGAGTCATCTCCTCTGACGGTTGTCTCGGGATGTTGGCAAATCGTTGACACTTGTCGCAATTTTGAACGAAGTCAAGTGCATTTTTCTGCATGGTGGGCCAATAGTATCCTAGTCGGATGGCCTTGTTAGCAAGTGACCTACCCCCAGCATGGTTTCCACAAACTCCTAGGTGGATCTCCCTTAAAATGTAGTCAGCTTCCTCGCTAGAAACGCATCGTAAATACGGCATGGAGAAGTTTCTCTTGTTGAGCACCCCTTTGATAAGTGTATACCTAGCTGCCCGCATCTTGACCTTTCGAGCTTCTACTCGGTCTGTTGGTAGCACCCCATCCTTGATATATCTGATGATAGGATCTGCCCATTCCACACTCAATATCGCTTGTTGCACTTCAATTTGTCTCTCCTGAGATATAGATGGTTCGTCCAAATATTCCAGTGGTATATTCTTATTGATCTCAGGTTCAATGCAGTAGCTAGCCGGGCTAAAGCGTCTGCTTTCCCATTCTCTTCTCGTGGTATTTGATGAATTAAGAATCTTTGGAAGTGATTCTTTAATTCATTCATCTTTTGTAGGTAACTCTTCATCTTCTCGTTTCGTGCCTCATATTCCGCTTGAACTTGTCCAGTGACCAGCTCGGAGTCGGTGTAATTGCTTAACCCCTAGGGCATTTGCCACTTTTAATCCTGCTATCAAGGCTTCGTACTCTGCTTTGTTGTTGGTTGCGTTGAAACCAAACCGAAGTGCGTACTGTATACTTTCTCCCTCTGGGGAAACAAGAACAAGCCCAGCTCCGCTAACCTGAACATTAGATGACCCATCCACGAACAAGTCCCAGACTACTTCTGGGCCCATCTGCTCACTTAAACCTGGTTCTGTCGAAAATTGGGGTTGTTTCTCCTCTTCTGGAGGGGTAAACTCAGCTAAGAAATCAGCCAACACCTGAGCCTTTACTGCTGTTCTTGGCTTATACTGAATGTCGAACTCTTCTAACTCTACTGACCACTTCATCAGTCGACCAGAGCTTTCTGGCTTGTGTAGAACCTATCGAAGGGGTTGATCTGTTAGGACCACTATCGTATGCGCTTGAAAGTATGGTCTCAGTTTCCTGGCGGACACAATTAAAGCAAAGGCCAACTGTTCCATCCTTGGATATCTTTCCTCTGCACCCCTAAGTGCTCTGCTCACGAAGTATACTGGCCTTTGGACCCCTTCTTCTTCTTCTCGTATCAAAGCTGAACTGACAGCTGTCGTGGAGACTGCAAAGTATATGTATAGTTCCTCTCCCGGTATGGTTCGAGATAGTAGTGGGGGAGAACTAAGGTATTGCTTTAGTTCTTTGAATGCCTACTCATATTCTGGGGTCCATTCAAAAGCCTTCCTTAGCACACGAAAGAAAGGTAGACACCTGTCAGTTGACCGAGAGATTAGCCTACTAAAGGCAGCAATCTTCCCTGTTAGTCGTTGTAGATCCTTGGTTGATCTTGGCGATCTCATGTCAATGACTGCTCGGATCTTCTCTGGATTGGCCTCAATTCCTCTTCTGCTTACCATATATCCCAAGAACTTTCCTGAGGAAACCCCAAAGGCACACTTGCTGGGGTTGAGTTTCATCTTATGACTCATAAGTACCTCGAAGGTCTCCTGCAGGTCAGTCAAATGGTCTTCAGCTTTTAAGCTTTTCACCAACATGTCATCAATATATACCTCCATGTTCTACCAATTTGATACTTAAACATTGCATTCACTAGCCTCTGGTATGTTGCACCAGCGTTCTTGAGCCCAAACGGCATTACTTTGTAACAGTACAAACCTCTATTAGTGATGAAGGCCGTTTTTTCTCTATCTGAGGTGTACATAGATATTTGGTTGTATCCAGAATATGCATCCATGAAACTTAATAGTTCATGTCCAGCCGTTCCCTCAATGAGCATATCGATTCTTGGGAGAGGAAAGCTGTCTTCGGGTAAGCTTTGTTAAGGTCGGTGAAATCCACACATAGCCTCCATTTTCCATTTGCCTTCTTCACTAGGACCACATTTGCCAGCCAGTCGGGGTAGTACACCTCTTGAATAAAGTCGGCTTTTAAGAGCTTTTCCACCTCTTCTGATATAGCCTGATTCCTTTCTGGAGCAAAAGTCCTCATCTTTTGTCTGACAGGTTTGAAGTCAGGATTTACATTTAGGTGGTGCTCCATGATAGTGGGGTCTATACCCGGTATGCCTTCATGTACCCATGCAAATACGTCTTGATTCTGGTCTATCTGTAGGTTCCGCTCTATGAAAGTCTGGTCTATCTTTCCCTTCCAGCCCTTCAATCGTAAATGCCTCTTGCGATTTTATTTTTCTGAGAGAGGCGACATAACATTCGCGAGCCATTGTTTGGTCCCCTCTTATCTCTCCCATACCATATTCAGTTGGGAAACGCATCAGGAGATGGTAAGTGGACGTGATTGCTTTCATAGCATTTAATGTCGTTCTCCCCAGGATAATATTATATGATGATGGGCAGTCCACCACTACAAAGTCCATCATTACAGTGACCTGCTTTGGATTGGCTCCTGCAGTAACTGGAAGGGTAACTGCCCCCAGTGGATATACTTTGTCGCCTAAAAATCCCACCAGTGGTGACTTCATGGGTCGGAGCTTCTCTCGGCCAATTTTCAATTTCTCGTACGCCCTAAGAAATAGTATGTCAGCCGAGCTACCATTGTCTATTAGTATTCGTCGAACAGTGAAATTAGCAACGACCATGGAAACTACCAGAGGGTCATCATGGGGCTGGTGAATTCCCTTGTCATCTTCTTCAGAAAAGGTTATGACCGGCTCCTCAACTCGAGGTAATTTGGTTGGAGGACTTGTCATTCCAACTTCATTCACCTCTGAAAAACTCCGAATTCTCCTAGCATGAGCCTTCCGAGCTGAACTCGTCTCACCACCACCAGCGAAGCCACCCGATATAACTTTAATCTCACCCATTGGTTGGTGTTGAGGAGGGCGATCATCTCGGCCCTCCCGGGCTGGGTTGGAGCCTCCTTTTCCATTTCTAGTTGTGAATTTGCGTAAATGACCTTTACGAACAAGGTTCTCAATCTGGTTTTTGAGGTCGAAACAATCCGCTGTGTTATGTCCATGGTCCCGGTGAAACCTACAGTATTTATCTCGAGACCTCTTTGTTGGATCAGCTTTTAGCTTTGGTGGCCATTTCAATGATGCGTCATCTTGAATCTGCAGAAAGACTTGCTGTACAGATGTATTTAGGGGGGTATAGTTATTATACCTGCCTGGGCTCGCTGGGCGGCGAAACGATCTGTCAGCCTGGTTGTTTGAGAATTTCTTGTACTTCGATTCCTTTTCCTCCCTAGTGTTAGGTGCTGGCCTCTTCTTCTCCGACCTCTTATCTTCACCATCTTTGTTTTTTCGTGCATTCATAGCATCCTCAGCGTTCATGTGCTTCCATACTCTAACCATCAACTCTGTCATGCTTGTAGGGGCTTCTTTTGATAAGGAAAATAGGAACTTAGAAGTCTGTAGTCCTCCCATAAAGGTTGTGAGGGCAACCTTGTCGTCCACCTCTTCTACTTGCAGCATATTAGCGTTAAAACGACTTATGTAACCACGGAGAGACTTTCCCTTCTGCTGTTTCACATTCAATAAGTGTGTTGCTGTCTCCTATGCCTCTGCCTAGCGATGAAGTGTCCAATGAATTGTTTGCTCAACTCATTAAAGATTTCAATGGAGCCTAGCTTTAATTTATTGAACCAAGGACGAGCCCAACCCTTTAGTGTGGTAGGGAAAGCCCTGCACATAATCTCATCCGGTACGACTTGTAAATACATAAGAGCTTTGTAGGTCTCCAAATGATCGAGAGGGTCCCGCGTCCCATCGAAGCTCTCAAGAGTTGGCATATTAAATTTGCTAGGTAGAGGACAACTCATAACATAACAGCGAGACTAAATGCTAGGTTGGTCTTCTGTACCAGATCGTTCACTGTGGCCTGGCCCTTCCCTTTCATTGCTTGCATGACGTCTTTGACCCTAGTTCTCAGATCTTACATCTACAGATTGAAATAAGTGACATCTTCAGTCTTGTCACCAACACAACCAGAGGTACCTGCACGGAGCCTGGTATTATTCCGTTCAAGAGACCGATGGTGATGGCTTCTCTGTTGACCCCCTATTTGACTAAGCTCAGCGTCGTTGTCAATCCTACGGGAGTCATTCTTGGGTACTTCATTATTCTCCACCTCATTAAGGGCGGCTAAGCGTTGTAGAATCATTGAATTTTTCTGGACTAATTGGTTCATTCCCTTATTTAGGGTTTAAACCTGTTGTTCCAACGCTGTGACGCGTTCCTGATCGTTTGGGACGGCGGGGGGTTGCCTCGTCGAGTCCCCTTGATCAGAAGTTTGCAACGCTTCGTATTCGCCAGCAACCAGACCAGATCGCAATCGAACCATACTTTATTTAGAGAACTAAAATCGTTCCCACAGACGGCACCAACTGTTGATGATGGATTCTGCGCAACCTGGATCTGATCTGACTTCCTGAATAAAGAGAAGAAAAAGTGATCTTACGAACACCGGTGTGTTACCGGTGGAGTAGGCTCCGACGAACAAGTCAGTGTGAATGATAATCTCCCTGGAGAAATCGAGAAATTGAATTAGGATTTATTGCGTACCTCAAAACGTTGATTTTCCCGCCTTTTTTATAGGGCTTAGGTTAAGATGTCATGTAGAATTACCTTATTGTAATCTGTAGACTTAATTCTCATCGTAATCTTTAATCCTTATCACAATCTTTAATCCTTATCGTAATCTGTAAAGCTTATCTTAATCTGTAATCCTTATCGTAATCTGCAGAGCCTATCTCAATAGGGCGTTAATTTAGTAGTAATCTTTCCTTAATTATGGGTATTTAAATTATACATCCATCACATAATTTGGTTGATTTTTGTCACACTTTTGGCACGTGAACATAATCTTTTATTTTTTTTAATATTTATTTGTTAGTAAATTATTAAAATTTGGAATGGCCGAGAAAATTGAAAAACTCATAAAATCTGTACCGTATGGCACGGGATAAGACATGATGAATTTTTTGCACTTAAATTTGGGGCTAGCCCATATTAATGTTTTAAAATCTTGGTTTGACATGAGCTTACCCCTTAGCCTGCCCCACCTATCAAATCTCACCGGTATATATATATATATATACATATATTTTGATTGATTGATGTGGATGGACTTATGCTACTCATTCCTAAACTTAGTTTTACTTTTATTGGGTTGTAAAATACTGGTGATGGTAGGAGAAGACCACTTGGTAAGGACGCGTGTTGACGGTGACCAATTAACTGTTTAAGTGATATTTTTGTTCAAAATATAATCTCTTAAATAGACTATAGTTAAAATACCCTCTCATGTTAATTGAGGGAAATTTTTTTTTTTTTGCTAAAATAATTCATAAGAAGAATTTTTTACTAACAGATATATCCCAGCTTTAAAGAGTTATCGGAGTTGTTTTTTTGGGCAGTTCGTCCTACTTTTATATCCCAGCTTTAAATTTAGTTTGCCCAGGTTAAGTTTGGATATTGGTTTTTGTATTGCATTAAAAGTTGCATTTGGCATTGACAGTTGTGTTCATTTCTACGTTCACGCGCATAAATTGGTCAAACGTATACAGTAAGCCATACTGATTTTGGAGCTTGACTGGGGCACCCTTTTGAAATGCCCCATTTGACGGGCCCAATAAAACTGTACTAAACTTGTCACACATGGTATTTTCTAACCTAACTCATAAAAGTAAACAATAAATAATAAAAAATAAAATTCTTATCTAACCAATAGTGTCCAAAAGTACTTTATAGAATAGTAAAAAATAATCAAAAATTGTAATATAGTGATATATCCTCTATCTCTATATTTTAAAATGGAAAGTAAGAGTTTGGGTCATTACACACGTTTGTCCCAAAGTGGGCTCGAACTCCACCCCTCAAAAACTCTTTTTTGAAGATGGATTGGTTACACCAATGAGTTAGAAGAAAAAACCAAATTCTTAACTTCTTTTTCTCTTTTTTTTCTTTTTTTTCTTTTTTTTTTTTTCATTGCATATAGTATTCCAAATTTAAGATGTGATCTCTGATTTTTATTTATTTTATATTTTATATTTTTGTAGTTCTCATCTCTTTGTATATTTTGTATTTATGGAGTATACTTTTAACATAAAAATGTAAATACAGAATTAACCATCCATCACAAAAGTTCCCCCCATATATGTAATGGCTGTGTGCAAAAGCAATCATCTTATGCGGTCGTAATATATGTCGTATACATGTTAGTTTAAGTAAAAATGTTCTCTTGATAATCAACCAACTAATTTTACTCTTATGTTACAGGTTCATCTACAAATGCTACCGAATCAACAATACATAATAGGTTGAAGATTGCAGTAGGTAACATATATAATAACAGATAAACTAATATCTCTGTTCTGTGCTCCCTACATTTTTTTCATTACTCTGAGTTAAAAACTAGGCTAATACTCATTACTCTGCGCGCCTTAATTAATATATAATTGTTTAAATAAATCTATGTGTAATTCTCCTTAATCTCCCATTTAAGATATGGCACATAAATAGAATAATATATGAATAAATGACCAACGTATGGTCTCCATTCTTTGTTATGCAGGCATCTTAGCCGGTGTGGCTGGACTTATAGTAGTTTGTATTATGATGATAGGCAAGCTTAGAAGAATACACTTATTAAGGAAGACAACAATGAATGATCAAAATGTCGAGGCATTTTTTAGGAATTATGGATCCCATATTCCAAAGCGATATAATTATTCAGTTATTAAAAGAATGACTAACTCATTCAGAGACAAACTAGGTCAAGGAGGATATGGTGTCGTATACAAAGGAAAGCTATTAGATGGTCAGCTAGTGGCAGTGAAACTCTTGAGCGAGACCAAGGGTAACGGAGAGGAACTTATCAATGAAGTCGCTAGCATTAGTAGAACTTGCCATGTCAATGTAGTCAAATTTTTAGGTTTCTGTTTTCAAAGGAACAAAAGAGCTCTAGTCTATGAGTACATGAGCAATGGATCTTTGGACAAGTTCATCTACAATGATGGATCTCCGAATTTAAGCTATTATCTAGATTGCAAAACATTATACCAAATTGCAGTTGGTGTTGCTCGAGGGTTAGAGTATTTACACTGTGGTTGTAGCACAAGGATTGATCATTTCGACATAAAACCTCATAATATTATTTTGGATGATGACTTCTGTCCCAAAATTGCTGATTTCGGTCTTGCTAAATTAGGACAGAGGAAAGAGAGTATTATGTCGATGCTAGGTACAAGAGGAACAATTGGATACATTGCTCCAGAAGTATTCTCTAGAAAATTTGGAGGAGTCTCTCACAAGTCTGATGTCTACAGCTATGGAATGATGGTAATTGAAATGGTTGTTGGAAGAAATTATATTGAACCTGGGACTGTCCATTCAAGTGAACAATATTTTCCGGATAGCATATATGAGCAGTTGGAACATGGTGAGGATCTAAGACCTCATGGCGTTACTACTGAAGCGGAAAAAGAAACAGCAAGGAAAATGATGATAGTGAGTTTGTGGTGCATTCAGACCAATTCAGTTGATCGACCATCAATGACTAGTGTGGTGGAAATGTTAGAAGGAAGCCTTCAATCCTTGCAAATTCCTCCAAAACCCATCTTATCTTCTCGTCCCAGGTTGCCACAAGATTCTTTTGCATTATTACCACAAAGTTTGAGTATTGACTGAATTAAAAGTTTTGTTCAAATTGAATGGAAGAATAATAACAATGAGCTCTTCAATTATTCTCTTCCTTTTGATGTGCTTTTGGCCGGATACTAATACACCATGTTATGTATGTTTTTTATTTTTTATTATTATTTTTTTTTATTTTCTCATCTTATCTTGAATTGTAGCTGAAGTAGAATTGTTGTTTGGCTTATTTCAGCAATCTTGTAATACTCATTACTGTTCAAGAATTTGTGATTTATGCCTTATTATTTTCTTGAAGAAAAGTTTATTCTCGATACACTCTGGTTACAAAATCCATTTTAAAAGTATAAAAAGTCGTGACTTACACGTTGGTTCATGATTGTGACATAGCGAAAGTTAGATTTATTCACAAGGAACGATAAACTACTTTAAATTAACAAAATAACAACTTTGAATTCACAAAGCAGAAGATAAATCAAGAAAAAATTTGATATTGTATTGATAATTGAATTAATGATTCTGGTCTCTGCATTTCATGTATTTATAATGAAAGAAAAGCCCTAAATTATAAGAAAAATAAAATTTATCTAATAATTCTGAAAAAATAGCATAAGAATCCTAATGAATAAAACTACATAAGAATCCTAATGAATAAAACTACTAAATCTAAAATTTGGTAACAACTGAGTTAGTTTAGACAATGAAAAAAAAATTAAGAAATATTAAGCACGCCTCCTATATGATAGAAAAATCTCATTTTAAGGCCCCAAATAATGGTATTGGGCCTAAAAGTAGTGTATGTCATGGTTAGGCGGTTTTCAGTCCAAAAACTCTCCTTTTAATTCAAAAACACACTTCAGGATCGGGCCAAAAAATCTATCAAAATACTTATTTGGCCCTCTGGCTGTCCAAAGGGGTCAAATAGAGTTAAGCAATTAGTTCTATATCAGATTGACCCAAGACTATGTAATAATTTCTCTCCCAACTTGATGTCCTTCGAGATGCTTCCATTATTGTTTTGACAAGTATTTGTGGACTTAAGGTACTCTTGTATACTTTTATGTCCTAACTTAGAGCTTAGAATGCTTTGGCTTGTTCTCACAGGGGTCAATTTTTCGCATTAAAATCCTCACCTTATGATGGCACTAAGCCACAAATGAACACCTTCGATTTCTGACTTAGTCAGCCACTCAACACATGCACATCATATAAATATAAGGCACAAGGGACACACAACATTTACAGAGGCAAAAGCCTCCAACCTTCACTATTATTTCACGAAATAGTACAAGGATCCTCAATGTGTGATACAAGCTCACAAAGTGTATCTCACTCTGATCTACTAACAGACCCATTCATTACAATATATATAGACCCCTTTACAAAACTGTTTATAACTATAACAAAGGTAGTGGAGACGTACACCCCATCCACTATAGGATACAACTGGCACACTCTAGCTCTGCCACATTACAAGGAAGTTACACAACATTCCCATATCTTCAACGCATGTCCCATATTTTCAAAAATAAGTGGAACTGCTCTCAACTTCTATATGCTGGCAAGCCCAGACTATGCCACATTGCATGGGTGGTTGCAACCCATTTCTCCCACTAACTCATGTTTGCACAAGTAGTGGGAAGTGGCTAGCAACTGATTGAACCAAGTCACGCCCATGCACCATTTGAGTAAGCCCAACTGAGTCAGGGTTCGCCCTTGTCGAGCAATGCTTACAAACCTAACACACCCTTGTTAGCAATGTTAGCCTTGACCAAGCCTAGCCTGCGTCTTAGTGTGTTGGGACATAGAATTGAGCCATGCCCACACCTTGAGTCGGTCATAGCCATGACCTTGCCCATAGGCAAGTTAAAGTTTGCTGCTGTAAGCACGTGCACACTTGTGGGCATGGCGCACAATGCCCACAACATGCCCACAAGTGCACACGCAGCTGCCCAGAGTTGCCCACCAGCACGCGCGTGCAGCATACTTTGCCCGCCTTCGGCTTCCCCCACAAGCGCACGCACACACCTTTGAGTGCGCGCACCATGCCCATTGTTTGCCCTTGGCGTCCCCCACAATTGTGCATGCATGCACACACCCTTGAGCGCGTGCGCCATACACCCTCTAATTATGTTGAAGGGCAAATCAACAATCTGGCATGAGTAGACATACTTTATGTCTGAGGAATCATAATGAGCAAGTTAAATTCTCTGTACCTCCAAATTGAAATCCGTCTCCACCAGTAGACTTCTAAGACTTCAAGGAAGCTCACGTAATTTTCCCATGACCAAACTACAAACTTCATTTTTTGATATATTTACGAAAATGCAACTGCCGCATTAAGTGTGCACCTGACAGCCCTTTGTGCCCCATGCAGGCTGTTACGGGCCTAGTCAAGATGCCTTCTAACTTAGGCCATGTGTGGAGCGAAGTCTCAACCCCGTAACACTTGCCGTGTAAGCCCAGATTGTAGACTTTTCTAGTTCGTCTTCACCTAAAGGAATCAAACCCTAGAGATTTTTTTAATATTCAACTACATACATTTTCATAAATGATACATTCACATTAACCATAAATTACTACCTTATTTAAGTAATTTGAAATGTACGGATAATGCAAATAACATATTTAATTTTGGCAGATTAACTTAATCGTATTTTCTCTATCTCAAAGGGGCAAAATTTGTGTGTGAGTGAGTGGTGAATGCTTTTTGATTGATGGATTTTTTTTTTTTTTTAACTAATTTGAAATGTGAAGAAGCATTGCAACTTGATCAAATTATAAATTGGCATGGTTGTCCTAGAATGAAAATAATTATAAGTTGAGTCGAGAAATGGTACCAAACATCGTTTATATAATCTAGTATTATTTTTTGAACTTGAAAATCATGTAAAGGAAAAAAAAAAAAAAAATTAATGTTACAATTTTTTTTTGGTGACTTAAACTCTTAGTTTTTCACTCAAGGAGATAAAGGAAATATAATTAACAGTCAATATATGTCTTTTGAGAGAATACACGTTTGAATATATTTGAACGCCAACCTAGTTAGACTTGGTTTCAGGCTTGAACCATTCCTAACCTAATTCCTCCTCCATGTTTCTCTAAACTTTTTTGTTTATTCTATTTTACTTTAAATTTATTTATTTTATAATAGAAATAGAGTATTGCTCCAGTAGTTTTGTTGGAGGTGCACAGATTATGACGGGTCATATATATATATATATATATATATATATATATATATATTATTATTATTATTATTTTTCTAGTCTATGAGGGGACATTGAAAATTACATAAAGTTGCCTAATCATCAAATCGAATTTTATATCATTGCAGCTTCGTTTGTGTTTGTGAATTAAGAATTGATCTCGTTTTGCATTTTGAATGAAATGCATTTTGAATGAAATGCGAAAGAAAAGCTCTTATATCCCCTGTCTCTTTTTCTCTATCCTTTAAATGAGAGGCCCTGATTATTAATTCTCTGTAAATGTCTGAATTTTAAGGATCTCTTGAATTCTAAATAAGAGGGAGTTTTTGGCACTAATTGAATTCAATCAATGGTAGCATGCACTTTTGTAGGTGCAAAATTTCACCCAACCAATAATGATTAGGAGAAATAACACAACTCACTCAATAAACAATAAAATAAACAAGAACAGTATATAGAGAAGCGTAGAATTGCTTGATTCTTTTATTGGAGGTCTGGGCCTCTATTTATACACAAAAGATTGGTTGAATTATGGTAGGACTCGCATTACTTGTCCTTTAATTATTTTCCTACAGAAATTCTTTACAAATAGAGCTCCTTTCTTTGTATAATTTTCCTTGTGTAGTAGTTTCTTTCTTTGCTGTATCCTTCTTCTAATAGGACTAATTTCCTTTCAATGGATTTGGGCTATAAGTAACCTGATCCATGTGACATTGCTAACGGGCTGGATCTATTATTTCGGGCTTGAGCAATGCTACAGAGATCAATTATTTACGACCTTGGGTTAGTGTCTTATGATTTTGGGCTGTCAACGAGCTTGGACTGGGCTTTGAGCAGGATGGGCCTCTGACATTTGTGATGGGTATTTACATTGCGATGACGTGTACAGTTCTCATTGGAGGGAGATTTTTCCCTCCACACTTTGCCCCCAATTCCCTCTTTAATTGGATTGCGGCTCCTATTAAAAAGGGAATTGAAGTTGCACGGTTGTCTATTTTACAAAAAGACGGTTCGAAGATTGCCCATTGTCATTCTGCCTTAAGAGATTCCATAAGGGTTACTTTTGCTCTCACTACGTTTCTTGCGTTCTTCATTCCGTCGTCTTATCAGGTTAGTTCTTCATCTTTTTCTCTTCGATCTTGCATTATGAGTACTTCGACTACTCCTGAGAGTATAGAGATCGTAGATTCTGAGTCCACTCCCTCGTCTTCCCCTAATCTCATTAGGGTTCCCCCACCTAGGGTTTCGAACTTCCCTAAACCTGTAAATGACTCGGCTAATTAGCCGGGTGCTTCCCCGATCCAGGCTGAAACATCCACCTCTGGGTCGGACAATATCCTCACTAAGGAAGAAAGAAATGCAATTTTATCTATTCGTCGCATCCCGTTCTCTATTGAATTCGTAATGGAAGAATTTGAGATTCCCGAGGGGGTAGAAATTGCATAATACCCCAAATGCGCTGATTTTTACGCCGGCGAGGGCGTCGGAGAAGACGAGTTGCTCCTCTCTGTTGGGCACCTCAACGCTCTTAGGTTCCCCCTTCATCCTTTCTATCACTTAGTCTTCAATAAATTGGGGATTGCATCCCTGCAAGTAAACCCTAACGTCCTTCGAGTAATCTCGGCACTTCTCATTCGCTGGTGGCAGGAGAGTCTTGACCTGACTCTGGCTGACTTGCTGATTACTTATTCTATTTCTAAGCATGGGACCGAACCTTGTCGTTTCTTTTTCACTTCCCCCTTGCACCAGAGGATATGTACAGACCTCTCTACTTCTGAGAAGAAGTGGAAAGAGAGGATGATAATTGTTAAAGGGAGATGGGCTGTGCCCCAATCGAGCAAACTCCCAATCCCTCGGAAGTTCGGGAAGTTAGGTATAGAACATCCCCCCTTTCTTCATGAAGATTGTTCTGGCTGTTTCCCATGTCGAGTCTTATTCTTTCGATATATTTATGAGTTTCTTGGTGTTTTTTCAGCGACATTTCCTTCTTCGGCTGCCAAGAAGAGGCTTTCCTTCCTGAAAGGGCAGGTTTCCTTCTTCGGCTGCCAAGAAGAGGTTTTGATCCTACTTCTGCGAGTCTTAAAGCAGTTGCTTTCAGAGCTGTAACCGCTGATCTCATGGACCTCTCATTTCCATCATTCGACAGCTTCCCCATGACTAAGGAAGAAAAACAGAGGGCTGAAACCTTGAAGAGGAAAGCTGCAGAGAATGCTCCGCTGACTATATTGCGTACAAACGAGCAGGAGAAGGAGATTGACGAAGTCCCTTTGAGCAAAAGGGCAAGGCTGAACCCTTCTTCAACCACGAAACCCAAGGGTGCTTCCAACCCAAAAAGCAAAGGGAAGAAAACCGAGGAGATTAACCCTGAGGATGAGGTTAGCGCCTACGTCCTTTCCGAGGCTGGGGCACCTTGGACTCTTTTCTTCTCGAAGGCTGACAAGTCCATCCTCCATGTTGGTGATTCTATGAACACTGACCCATCTGCAGCACTGGCCGTCGCTCGGGGAATGTGGCTCCCCAAGGATGAAGAAATTATCGGCAGAATAGGGTTGGAACAGCTACTCCCATCTGCCCTTGTTCGACCCATAGAGGTTTGCTCCTTCCTTCATTTTCATTGTCATAATTGTCTTACAAATTTTCTTATATTGTTATTATCTCATGACACAGGGCTTGTATCATACTATGGCCCTCTGTGCTACTGCTGAGGCTCAGTCTCTTTCTCTTAAGAAGCTGGAGAAAGATCTCAGTAATTCTGAGAAGAAGGCATCCCATGCCATTGCCAAAGCACAAATTGCATATGAGGCTCGGGATGTTTACAAAAAGTGTCTGGCTGCTTCTGATGCCAAAGTCGAGTCACTGGAGGCTGAAGTCCAGCGCTTGAATGATGCCTTTAGCACCTGCATCGTTGCCGGGAGGCAGATGCAAGGTCGTTACTCCAGTCTGGTGCGCTTGTCAAGTGTAAAAGCTTACCGGTCCTGCTTCAATCAAGGCTCAGGCCCCAAAACGATGGATCCTGATGCCTTTGATGTGAACATGGGGGTGTCCTTCCCTTATACTGAGGGTCCGAAGGCTCAGGAGGCTGAGGTGTTTTTTGCTGAAATGGTGAAGGCTCACCCGGAAGATCTTCCAAGCTCATCAACTCCTGTAACTCCTGGTTCTTTAATTCCTCCACCTACAAGTCCAGCTGTAGTAGATGCTTTCGAATCTGCCCCGTTTAATCCGAAGAGGAAGTAGGATCAAGCAAATTCTTTATTTTTTATTTTTATTTTTATTTTTTATTTTTATTTTTTCCTTTCCCTTGTAATGAAACAATTTTGAGAATGATAAATTTGAATGATATAACCTTGTTTTTTAAGCTGTGTTTCTTTTATTCTGCTTCGACTGAGTATGCTTATATGCTTCTGATATTGCACTCACTCTGTTGAGAGATTTTTTTATTTTTTTACAAAAGGAAGGTACTCTGCCTGAAGGTTCCTTATTTGTTTTAGTCCGAAGCAAAATAAATAAGAGGTTTTCCGAGCCGGACACTCAGTGTCCAAGGCAAGATTTTGCCAAGCCGGACACTTAGGGTCCGAGGCGAATGAATTACTCCCCGGCGCTGAGCCGGAGGGAGGTTTTCATACATATATTCTTCTCTTCATCGTTTTTTTTTTATTTTTTTTTTATTTTTTAAACAACTTGCCGAGGACTCAAAAATGATAGGAGGCCAAGAAAGCGAGTAACAATGGCTGGGAAATTTCCTATTTGTTTACTTTGGAGACTTTCCTCCATTGATACTCCCTTCTTGGCAACCAAATATAATGGACTACGCATATATTAACCACATTTCCTTTTTATTTTTATCCGATGTGGGACAAAGAGTTTTAACCATAGGTCAAAACGCATGCTTTTTAATAACTTGCTTCCAACATTGCTTTGCATAAAAGCATAAAATTGCATAATCATAGTGTAGTATGAAAATTTCTTTGCATGAAATTTTCAAATTTCTTTCTTTGTATAAAAATTTTCAAATTTTTTTTCTTTGCATAAAAATTGCTTTTTTTGCATAAAAATTGCTAATGCATACTGCGACGCAAAATTGCATAATCATAGAATGGTGGTATGGCCCTCATTTTAATGGAAAGAAACAAATAGAAGCAAAGTAAAGTAAAGCATAGCTGACTGTGGGCTTACGCAGCTTTATTTGTGAAGAATTCTTAATAAAATTGACAAACTTAACTAATGGAAATACCGTTTAAGGTGTATTGCATTCCAAGGATGCGCAATGGGACGTCTGTCAGCTTCGGCCAAACGATATGCTCCCTTCCCCACTACTTCGGTAATCCTGTAGGGTCCGGTCCAATTAGGTTCCAGTTTCTTTACATGAGCTGTCTCTTACTTCAGAACCCAATCGCCTACCGTAAAGCTCCAGAATCTGACACGTTTGTTATAATTATTGCGTAGCTGCTGCTGATATGAAGCAAGCCTAATTGCTGCAGCATCCCTTTTTTCATCGAGGAGGTCGAGACTATGTTCGAGCTGCTGACTATTGTTTCCTTCAAGTAAAAAGGATATCCGAAGGGTTGGAATCGCCGCTTCGGTTAGAATCACTGCTTCGGATCCATAAGCCATGGCAAAGGGACTTTCCCCCGTGGGTCGCCGTGGTGTGGTTCGGTACGCCCAAAGCACCTGAGGGAGATTCTCATACCATTTCGTTTTGAGTTTCTCCAATTTCTTCTTTAAACAACTGAAAATGGTTCGATTAGTTATTTCAGCCTGTCTATTCCCTTGTGGATGACTAACTGCAGCTAACTTTTATATAATTCCATGCTCAACGAAGAATTTTCTTATACTTCTATTGTCGAGGTTCTTACCATTGTCCATCATAATGACTTTTGGGACCCCAAACCGGTAAATGACGTTGTTCCAAAGGAAAGTTTTTACTTGCTCATGGGTCACACTTGAGTAGGCATCGGCTTCTACCCATTTAGTGAAGTAATCTGTAGCCAGTAGAACGTACTCCTTTTGTTCCACAGTCTTGGGTAACGGGCCCACCATATTAATCCCCCATTGTGTGAATGGCCATGGATTTTCCATTGTATGCAAATCTTCGGCAGGTTGATGCTTCATAGGACCGTGACATTGACATTTGTCACACCTCCGAGTATACTCTTCTGCATTCCGGGCTAAGTACGGCCAGAAGTAACTTTGAGTCAGGACTTTATGCACAAGGGATCTACCCCTAGAATGGTTGCCACAATCTCTGTCATGGATTTGTTTTAACACCACAAGAGCTTCAGTAGGGCTTAAACATTTCAGGTAAGGACCTGAAAATGACTTTCGATATAACTGATTGTTAATGATGGCATATTTAGCTACGGTGAGACGGAGCTTCCGTGCTTCGGACTTCTGGTTTGGAAGAACTCCATGCTTGAGGTAGGCTTCCAATGGATCAATCCAGCATGGTTCTTGAGGAACAACTGGAATCACCATTACTTCCTGCGGAGGATTAATGCTGGGCTCGTCCAGGACGTCAATCGGCACAATCCAAGTCAGATTTTCATTTGAGGATGACACTGATGTCGCCAATTGATCTGCTTCGGCATTCTCAACATGAGGTACCTGATAGAATTCGATCTGATCGAATCCCCGTGCAACATTCTCTACAGCTTCTTTATATGCTTTCATTCTTTCCTCTTTGGGATGGTACTGACCTGTTACTTGATTTATAACAAGCTGTGAGTCACTAAAAACCTTTAAGCAACGTACCTGGAGGTTGTTGGCCAATCGAAGACCAGTAAGTAACGCCTTGTACTCGGCCTTATTGTTCGTAGTCGGGAACCTCAAACAGATAGATTGCTGCAGCTTGGTGCCTTCGGGTGTTGACATTACAACTCCTACCCCTGCACTTGCTTGATTCGAGGAGCCATCGACTCGAAGTTCCCACTGTGGTTCAGGGTGTATCGGCTCTTCGGGAGTGTCTTCATATTCGAGAAGAAAGTCTGCTATGGCCTGTCCTTTGTGCGACACCTTTGGCTCATAAGTTATGTCGAAGGAACTAAGCTCGATAGCCCACTTGGTAATTCTCCCAGATAGATCAGGCTTAGAGAGTATACCCCGTATAGGATAGTTAGTGAGTACCATAATGCTATGAGATTCAAAATAATGCCCAAACTTCCTCTTGGCATAATGCCGAAGCTTCCTCTTGCCGAAGCTTCCTTTTTTTTGCTTTACTATATCGTGTCTCCGCATCTATCATGGTATTGCCTCTTTCCTTCCTTTCTAATTAATGCTGCACTTGTCGCTATATTAGAAATTGCCAAATACATAATAAGAACCTCCCCGGGTTTTGGAGTGGATAGAATTGGTGGTTCAGCCATGTAACCTTTCAACCGACTGAGGGCCTCCTACTGCTGAGGTCCTCATATATCTTTATTCTTAGGTCGTATAGTATCGAAGAATGGTTTGCACTTATCTGACAATCGGGATATAAACCGATTGAGGGCTGCGATCCGAACGGTAAGAACCTGCACCTCCCTACGATTTTTTGGTTCCTGATTCTGGATGAGGGCCTTAGCCTGAGCCGAACTTACCTCTATCCCTCTTTATTCACTATGTGGCCGAGGAATTGACCTGATGATACCGCGAAGGAGCACTTGGATGGATTCAGCTTCATGTTGTACTTCTTCAAGGTATTGAAAACTTCCTGTAGATGCTTCAGATGATCTTCTTTCTTCACACTTTTAACCACCATGCCATCTATATATGCTTTAACTGTCTTTCCCAACAGATTATCAAATATCTTGTTGACAAGGCATTGATACGTAGCTCCAGCATTCTTCAGTCAGAAGGGTATGACCCTGTAACAATAAGTCTCCTTTTCTGTAATGAAAGTCGTTTTTTCTTCATCTTCGGGGTTCATAGGAATTTGATTGTATCCCGAGTATGCATCTAGGAATGTCAGCCTCTCGTAGCCGGTGGTAGCATCAACCATCTGATCTATCTTGGGCAAAGGGAAGCTATCTTTAGGGCAGGCTTTGTTAAGGTTGGTATAGTCTACACAAACCCTCCACTTTCCATTCTTCTTTTGTGCGACTACCACGTTTGACAGCCACTGTGGATATTGCACTTCTCGAATGAAACCTGCTTGTAACAATTTGCTCACTTCTTCAGCTATAATGTGATTGCGTTCGGGGGCAAACCTTCGGTGTTTTTGCTTAACCGGTTTAAACTCCGGATCCACCTTCAGACTATGGCAGGAAACTAAGGGATCGATCTCTAACATGTCCGAGTGATCCTACGCAAAAGCATCTGCATTGCTCCGGATAACATCAATTAATGCCTCTTTTTCTTCGGACGCGGAGGAAGAGCCTAGATAGGTAACCTTCTGAGGGTCGCCGAGGAAAACTTCTACGGCTTCAAGGGTTTCCTCGGTGGGCTTTGCAATTTCCTCTTCCTTCTCTACCTTAAGATACTTGGGCAGAGGGCTCTGTAATTGCTATTTGGGTCCAGTTTTGGAAGCCACACCTGGTTACTGGTGAGTCGACACCCTCTTTGCTTCAACTTGTGTCAACATATAGCATTCCTTCGCTGCGACTTGATCGCCCCATAGATTAATTTCTTCTTTCCTGTCTGGAGATAAGCACCGCATCACCTGGTGAAGGGTGGACGGAACTCCTCTCATCCGATATATCCAGCTTCTTCCCATAATGAGATTGTAAGAAGGATGGATCTCTGTTAAAACAAAGTTCTCCTTCAGAGTCCTCTTCATCGTGGTTTCAGACAAGTCTATTACTCCAAGGGGATCTACTCTTGTGCCATCGAACCCCATCAACGGGCTGGAGGTAGGTCGAATAGATGATGACGGGATCTCTAGCTGCTCAAAGACCGTCTTTGTGATTATGTTGGCGCTACTTCCTGGATCTATCAAAACCCTCCGGATCATACAATTGGCCACTAAAAGACTGATGACCAATGGATCCTCGTGGGGGAGTTGAACTCTGGATAGGTCGCCATCTCCGAATCCAATATTGATGTTACCCAAAGCGATAGCATTGACCGAGGATATCCTCCTGAGCTTGTGGGCTGCCCTCAATCTGGATCTGTATACCTCCTCGGACTCTTGATCATCTTCAGACCTTCCATGTATTGCATGGATGACTTTTACTTGCGTACCTTCCACTTTGCGGGGATAAACCTCGTGGGGCTTTGCATACTCCATTGTCATGAGGTAATCTGTCAACTCACCTCTGGCGATCATATTCTCCACCTGTCGCCTGAGGGATCTGCAATCATTGGTTGAATGCCCATAATCTCGATGATAAGCGCAATGCTTGCTTTTGTCCCTTTGCTCCAGGGGTTACTTTATTGGCTGCGGAGTTGTGAACTTCACCTTATTCTCTTGGAAGAGCCGAGCCAAGGTAGTTCGGAGAGGTGTAAATCCTTCCTCTACCCTTTGCCTTTTTTCAGGTGCCTGGGTGATTGGCGTTGAGGAATGTTGGCTCTTTTGAATTTTTTTAATTAGAACTCTTTCTCGAGGCTTGTTTTCCACTGTCACGAGGGTGGCGTGCTGCGCTCGGTGGGCTATATTTTCCTCAAGCCGAATGTAGATCTGGGCCCTGGCATTGAGAGTCTGCATGTCGGAAGGAGAATACTTGACTAAAGAAGTGTGGAACTTCGTCCCCTGAATCATCGCGAGTTTAAATGTCTCTATAGCAGTTGCGGGATGATAATCCGCTATTTCTGAGGCTTCCATGTTGAATCTTGACAAGAAATCCTGCAATGTTTCCCCTCTTTTTTGCCTTATGGTGAAGAGGCTAGCAATGCTCTTCTTTTGCTTCTTATTTCCGCAATACTGTGCCAGGAACATGGTGCATAGAGTTACGTAATCCGGGATGGACTTATGCGGTTTATTCCTGAACCACTTTAGTGCTGCTCTTGTCAAACTGGTAGGAAAAACTCTGCACATCTAAGGGTCATTACGATCATCCAAATCTATCTTTTGAGCGTAATGATCTAGGTGCTGAGAAGGATCCCCTGTTCCATCAAACTGGGTGAAAGAAGGCATGGTAAATTTCTTGGGCCTCTCAACCAGATACACATCGTCAGTGAAAGGAGTTTTGACCAAGGAATTTTTGTGTTCTCTAGCCATCTCGGCAAGTGTCTGAATCTTTAGGAGTCTCTTCTCGTCAAAGGCATCCTAAACACCTGCACCATCTGGGATTCCATTGGACCACACCGTAAGCTTATGGCTGGATTCGACTTGCTCATCCTGTGTGCGACGAGGGATGTTGTCTGAAGCCACAGCCTCGGATCTTGCCCTCCGTTGTTGCTGAACCTCATTCGGCTGAGCCTCATTGGGTCATGCCCCATTAGGTGGAGCCCCATCAGGCGGAAGTCCAATAATCGAAGGAATATTCTGACTAGGGGGTGCTGCTATGTCACCCACTGGTGGCGGTGGTGCCAACTGAGCCAGCGCCATTTGCAGAGTGTTATTTTGCTGTTGAAGCAAGGCGATCTGAGCCACACTTGCTTCGTTTGCCTGACGAAGTATGTCAAACTGGTGTAGAAACTCTTCACGCATCTTCTGCATCAACTCCGTCTGTTGATCCGTTGAAGATCCTCCGTTCGACATTCTGGATGGTAGCTACAGGATTCACCTGTGAAACCAAAAAAAAGTGTGGGAATATATTTGCACACGTTTCCCACAGACGGCGCCAAAGTGTAGGTGCAAAATTTTGCCCAACCAATAATGATTAGGAGAAATAACACAACTCACTCAATAAACAATAAAAATAAACAAGAACAGTATATAGAGAAGCGTAGAATTGCTTGATTCTTTTATTGGAGGTCTGGGCCTCTATTTATACACAAAAGATTGGTTGAATTATGATAGGACTCGCATTGCTTGTCCTCCAATTCTTTCCTTACAGAAATTTTTTACAAATAGAACTCCTTCCTTTGTATAATTTTCCTTGTGTAGTAGTTTCTTTATTTGTTGTATCCTTTTTCTAATAGGACTAATTTCCTTTTAATGGATTTGGGCTATAAGTAACCTGATCCATGTGACATTGCTAACGGGCTGGATCTCTTGTTTCGGGCTTGAGCAATGCTATAGAGATCAATTATTTTAGCAACCTTGGGTTAGTGTCTTATGATTTTGGGCTGTCAACGAGCTTGGACTGGGCTTTGAGCAGGATGGGCCTCTGACATTTGTGATGGGTATTTACATTGCGATGACGTGTACAGTTCTCATTAAAGGGAGATTTTTCCCTCCACAGTTTTGTTTCTGCTTTTTTATTTTTGGATTGCTACAATGTCGATTTTGATAACAAAAATATATTTAGTACGTCCTTGTTTTATTTTACACATTGCTAAAACACTTCGTGAACAGTGATGCAAAACTAAAACACTAAAAAATTGTTTTTCTTGTTTTGATAACTATTAATGGCCCAAAACCATAATAGTAGCGCAACACAAATCCAAACATTTCACATCAAAACATAGTTTTCAAACATGCTTTCAATTTTTTTTTTAAGACACTCCTACTCATTATTCTCATTTTTTTGTTTAGATTGCAATTTCTAATGAAACATCTACGGGTACATAAGAAATGTATTAATCACCCTCACCAAAAAAAAAAAAAAAAAATTTGTATTAATTAATTTTTTTTCTTTTATTTATTTATTTTTTTTTATAAATAATATGCAAATCAGGGTTTTGAAACACCAATACACATTAAGGCTTTGTTTGGATGTAAAATATTACACATTAAGGCTTTGTTTGGATGTAAAATATTCTTTTATTTTTTCATGTTTGGTTGTAAAAAATTTAAAGAAATATTTTCTTACAACCTAACAAAAACAACATATACATCAACTTCCGAAAGGTCATTTTACATGGCAATCCAATAGACTCTACTTCAACTTGGACCTAAACATTTGTCAAATATAAAAAAATAAAAAATATTTTAACTGAAAAGAAAAAAATTAATACATATAAACTACTATTATATTTCACTTTGAGAATATGCTAGAAGCAGTCCAAGACTTCTGCTTAGATATCATTTTCCTATTTTAATCAATTGACTAAAATATTGGTAGATTTTTATTCAAGGAGAATTTTCTCCTTCAATTCGGTGCTTCGAAAATTAGACTCAGTGTCATTATTGTTTCCTATTCTAATCAATTGACTAAAAAAGTAAAATAAAAATGAATCCCCAATTTTCCATTTTTGCATTCTTGTTCATAAGCTTCATTTTAATCCATATCCCAACATCTTCATGTGCCGATGATGAGCAATATGTGAACTCTACTCAGCTGCTCCAATGCGGAAGCATACCGGACATCGGCTACCCTATCTGGGAAGGAAACCGGCCGGAGTACTGTGGTCACCCCGGGTTCGAGCTCACTTGCCCGACCGATGCACCCCTGCTCATAATCCTGTCAACAACATACAGGGTCCTCGCAGTTGTTAGAAATGAGTTATGGAACAACACTTGTCCCACAGATCTCCACAACGCCACCTTAGACACAACAAATTGCACCTACAGCACCAATTCACAGGAGTTAACGCTCTATTATGGTTGTCCTTCTGTTGTCATACAAGTGCTTTCCAATCAGTTTTATTGCAGTAACACCATAAGTTATTAAGTGACTAGTAGTGTTACATTACCCAACTCTATTAATAGCACATGCGAAAATAGTGTAATTGTTCGAGTCAATCAATCGGCAGCTGTGGCTTTGGCAAGCGTTATGCCATCTATAACTATTGCAGCAGCTCTTAATGGTGGTTTTGGGTTGCAGTGGTCGGCAAATGATATGTATTGCGGCGAATGTGTTGATTCTTATATGTCGTCCAGTAAGCCCATAAAATATCATTTAACTTTCTTGACCAATCTTTCCGTGTGGTGTTAACCGTTTTCTCAAGAATATGCTTAATTTTTCGGTCAGAAACTTCTACTTGCCCACTTATTTGAGGATGGTAAGGAGTGGCCACTTTATGAGTAACAGAGTACTTAAGAAATAAATGCCTTAGGAATTGATTACAAAAATGCTTTCCTCCGTCACTTATCATAGCCCTAGGCATACCAAAATGAGCAAAGATATTAGACTTAATGAATTGAATAACCATGGAATGATCATTTATTTTGGTAGCACAAGCCTCTAACCACTTGGAAATATAATCTACGGCAAGAAGAATGTATTGAAAACCATAGGACATAGAAAATGGACCCATAAAATCAATGCCCCAAATGTTAAAGATTTCAATAACAAGTATATTGGTCAAGGGCATTATATCTCTTCTTGACATGGACCCCATCTTTTGACATCTCTCACACGACTTGCAAAAGTTGTAGGCATCTCTACGGATAGTGGGCCAAAAGAGCCCACTTTGAAAAACCTTCCAGGCGGTCTTCTTTGCACTAAAATGCCCATCACATGCAAGTGTATGACAAAACACAAGGACACTTGGAATTTCGCTCTCCGGAATGCATCTCCTCACAATTTGATTTGGACAATAACGGTACAAGACGGGGTCTTCCCAATAGTAATTCCGGATGTTGGCAAAGAAAATGTTCTTTTCGTTCCTTGACCAAGAAGTTAGGAGCTTGCCAATTGCCAAATAATTCACAATGTTGGCAAACAAAGGCATTTGTCCATTCGTAATGTGAAAAAGTTGTTCATCCAGAAAAGAATCATGAATTGGTGGGTTAGGGGAAGGCTCTATCAATAATCTTGAAAGTTGATTGGCAACCACATTCTCGGTGCCTTTTTTGTCCTTGATTTCAAAATCGAATTCCTGAAGAAGCAAAATCCATCTAATCAATCTAGGTTTTATTTCTCTCTTTGTCAAAAGATGTCTCAAGGCAGCATGATCGGAGTAAACAACAACCTTAGAACTTAAAAGATAAGATTGAAATTTATCAAGAGCATACACTACGGCAAGTAATTCTTTCTCGATAATGGAGTAATTCAATTGAGCTCCCGAGAAAGTTTTACTTGCATAGTATATGGCACAAGGAAGCTTTCCTACTCTTTGGCCCAAAACAGCTCCCATGGCATAATCAGAAGCATAACATATAATTTCAAATGACAATGACCAATTGGGAGGTTGCATGATAGGAGCAGATCACAATAAATCACACAATTTATGAAAAGCGTCTAGGCATGCTTGATCAAAGACAAAAGGAGTTTCCTTGGCAAGGAGATTGCACAAGGGTCGAGCAATTTTGCTAAAGTCTTTTATGAATCGGCGATAGAAGCCGGCATGACCTAGAAAGGAGCGAACCTCTCTCACCGTTGAAGGTGGCAGCAATAAGCTCCACTTTCGCTTTATCTACCTCAATCCCCCTCCTTGAGATGACGTGACCCAAAATGATACCCTCTTGAACCATAAAATGACTTTTTTCCCAACTAAGAACAAGGTTTGTTTCACGACATCTCTTAAGCACTAGATCCAAATTTTTGAGGCATGCATCAAATGATGACCCAAAGACAGAAAAATTATCCATGAACACTTCTAGATACTCTTCCACCATGTCCGAGAAAATTGACATCATACACCTTTGGAATGTGGCGGGGGCATTACACAAACCAAAAGGCATTCGTCTATAAGCAAATGTGCCAAATGAATAAGTAAAGGTGGTTTTCTCTTGGTCCAATGGGTCAAGGGCTACTTGATTGTAACCCGAATAGCCATCAAGGAATCAATAGTACTGTTGTCCGACCAATCTTTCTAGAATTTGATCAATGAATGACAAAGGGAAGTGATCTTTTCTAGTGGCAGCATTTAATTTGCGGTAATCAATGCATACACACCATGAATTGGCGGTACACTTAGAGATTTCCTCACCCTTTGCATTCTCAACCACGGTAATCCCCGATTTCTTGAGAACTACTTGAGTTGGACTCACCCATTTGCTATCGGAGATTGGGTAAATGATCCCGGCATCTAAGAGCTTGACTGCTTCCTTTTTTACTACCTCTTTTATGTTGGGGTTAAGTCTCCTTTGGGCATCCCTAAAGGGTTTTGCATCCTCTTCCATAAGTATGCGATGCATACAAATAGAAATGTCAATTCCCTTAAGATCCGCCACACTCCATCCTATGGCTTCTTTATTTTCTTTAAGCACATTTAAGAGAGCGTCTTCTTGGTCTTTTTCAAGACTTGAAGAAATGATAACCGGAAGAGTCTCTTTTGGTCCTAGGAATGCATACTTGAGATTGGAAGGTAGAGTTTTAAGCTCAAGAGTTGGTGGAGAAACTAAAGATGAGACCGGTAGAGTGCTAAAGAGTGGAGGAAGAGGTTCTATTGGAGTTTTCCAAGATGGAAAATCCAAG